CCAAGGCGGATGCGATGTTCCGCGCAGGTGATAATTAGCAAAAAGCGCCTGATAATCATTGGCTAGAATAACTGATGATCTCAACGGACCGACACTAATCTTTATATCCGGCAGGTGGAATCTAATGCATTCCTGTTCGACTGTGATGACAAGGTCGTAAAATAGGATAGATAACAAAATAAAATTATGACAAGCTTGCTCAGAAATGCAATGGAAGTGAAGAAAAGGTAACAAAATAAAGGCTACGTCTTTCAAAGAAGACGTATCATTCAAAGGATGGCGAAGTCTTCAAATTAATGCCAGGCCTGCAAGTTCACAGAAAAGCTGAAGAATATAATGTTCCAGGAGACAAACACACTAGGAAAAGTATCGCAGTGTCAACGATCGGACTGGCATAAGAGCGGGATGTCTTACTTACCCTTTAAGTGTACTGCTAACCGTTTAAGGAGGCTGCTACGACAATAAAAATGGTAATAACAAAGAGTATGCGGTGAAACCTATCCAATGCAACACTAACAGCGATCAGGCGATGATTTTTGTATTCATCACAGACGAAGGAAGTTTACTACAAAGCTAGATTTGTTTCTTCTTCGGAAAGATCGCCTTAGGGTAACTGTACGATCAAATAACAGTGGTTTTTACCAATCCATCCAGAGTGCAGGTCGCAAATTTGCGTATTCAGTTGTCTTCAGAGCTTATCCAGGCTAGCACATAGCGCCGAGTAATGAGGAAGTTTCCTAACATGTGGATAGAGCATTAAACATGAAACACTCATCAACTCACAGGACCTGAGATCAAACCCCCGGGTACGTCAGCACCTGTGGCTTAGGTGTCACTGACACATTACAATAAATAAGCCAGAAGTGGTCACTGCAGCGGCCGAAATTTTCGCTTATTCGGATAATTTCAGGGATAGGACTGTTCCAGTGGGCGCAAAAAAGTTACAAACTTTCCTGAAATACGAACAGAATCCCGAGATTTCACTTTGAACAATAAGGATTTAAAGGTAGCGCATGCATAATTATTTAGGATGCAGGGTTTAGAGCTAGTCACCCTGCGGCAGAACGCCGAGATGGATTATATGAGGGCTTTCCACGTGCTAATAGCGGGTATCCCTTCAAAAAAAAGTCCGAAAGACTAAACAAAGTGCACTATTGGAAGTAGTTAAGAGTAGGTTAGACTGTTTTATTTTCAATCGCTTTAATAACCCCAGTTCCCAAATGATACTGCTCGGCATGTTTTATTGACTCCCTCCCTTTAGGCTCCTAACCCCCAATTTAATGAGTTCCTTTATAATGATGCACCTCTAGGGCGGAAACCAGCGAGCACAAGAATCGTCGTTACTTACATTACGAGTATAAGAATTTACAAAACACACTGAATTCGGCGTGTAGGAGGAGTGTAAGTTTAGAGTTTTTATCTACTGAGCAAGAGATGTCAGCGACAAGCAGGACCCGTAACAATTAATGATCAAAGTTGCACATCTTGCTCAAAGACCTATCAGGTTTGGGCATTTATGACTTTGTATAACCCTGTGTGGCATTCACGCCGACGGCTTTTGATTCTTCCTTTCGTAAAAATCTCCGTGAAGTGCAATATTGAAAAGGAATACCGCTTTTAAGGCAATCTCTTTGGTTGACCAAAGTCGAGCGAGAACGCCAGCAAAATACGCATTTTCTTATCTTGCCTCAATGTCATTTTGCGGATGAAAAAGACTCCAGTCAGATGAGATAAATGTAATTTTCCAAAGACTTTGCATTGCCAGACGCTAAGTGTTGGTTCTAGTGCGCATAATTGTACGCACTCCAGAAGCTCATTAACAATTCACATAAAGGGGAAAAGAATCAAATCCCAAGTAAACAGCCAGTAAGTAGGACCTAGATGCATTTGAAGGTAAGGGACTGGATGTCGGCGAGGCTGAGAAAGATCTTAGTGGACAAATAGAGGGCGGCAACATCTGTTCTGCGATAGACTATAGATGAAACACTAGGTCTTAATAGCGGACTCGAATAAACAATTTCGAGGAAACAGCTGTTTTATCCTCAAAACTACGGTACATCATTAACAGTGAAAGCTGAACGGTAGAGTTGGGACAGAAAATTAAAATTAGATCCAAAACTCAGTAGACGAAAAACCGAGAACAGTTGTGGCAAAATTTGTAACGCCGAAGGTTAAGCATTAGTGCTTGCATTGGTTTATCAATACATCAAGAACAGTGCAATTTGACTTAGAAGTTGAAATTAAAGGATGTCTAATTGGCAAAGGCCAGAAGTACGGGAACAGGGACGAGAAATAAGGCTTACTCTTCAGTCGCGTAGTGTCCGGAATACTTTGACACAGCGGCCAAAGAACCCATGAAGTTAGAAAAGTCCAGTTTCATGACGTGAAGGTACTTGCCAAAAGCGTAGGATGTGGGTTCTGTGCTGTAGACACCGTTTGCTTTGTGACAGGTGAGAACGAGTGTCCGGGGCATAAGGTGATTTCCAAACGTTACTTTAGACTACAGAAAAGGAAATTTGTGCAAACGGAAATGCGTGTCGCCGGACAAAATATATGATTTAGAATTGCTTAGGTATAATTAAGAGCCGCAAGGATGCGCACGCTAACCTTTCCGTTTAAAATGTGATTTCGAGCTCAGTGAATTTAAACTGAATATAGTAGATCTGGTTTAAAGCCAACCTCTGAGACAGCATACCGGATAAAAACCACAGGCAGTCATAAATCCAAAAGCTCCCAAGCGAAAAACTATTCGGTAACTACTCAGAACCTAAATGCGTATTTTTATAAGTCCCAGTCTAGTAGTTGTCCTCCTTTCCTAGAGCCTGGGCTAATGACAGTCAGATTAGGACTTGAGAACAAAAATAATCAGAACAGTTGTTTTATGGTTTGAATGCCCAATAGTATTGGCGCTTCTGAAATTCAAAATGTCGGTTCTTCGTTCTCAACAACACTTGCATTGCTTCCTCAATCAAATAATTTTTGACATTAACATTGACGGCTAAAATCTAGATAAGATAGGGCTTCAAACACTCGATACTATAAAGCTGGCAGATCAATAAAGGAAGTACAAGTACGGTACATTCAAAGACATACCATTTCCAAATTGAACTTGACAACTGGGAAGAGCAACTCGCACCGTGCCCATAGCCAACCCATAGAACTTTCTGTAGCCGGTTCGGTTCTATTTTAGCAAAGCATAAGCATTAACAAAAAAACACATAATCTTTTATAGTTATTTCAAAATACTTATTAGATTCTGGTTCAGAGCAGGCCTCGAATCACATGCGTCTGTTGGTTGTAATGTTTTATGGCAGGAGAATCAGAATATTGTCGCAAAATGTCTGATCATAATTCAACCTATTTTTTGTTCAAGCAATCGAAAAATATAGCCGAAACACTCATGCAATGCTAAGACGAGATGCTGTTGGTGAAATGACACAGAATTTGTCATTAACTAACTGGATTTATGATGCTGCAGTTTTTCAGACGGCCGAAGTGAGATAGTTCATTTTATAATAATAGATCTTCGAAATTTGTAGAATAATTTAGCTATAGGTTCGTTGACCTTATCTTTTTAGTGGAATCAATTTATTTTTCAAAGACCATAGGTGTAAACCGAAAATAAAAAGGCAAGACTCACTCTGGATGAATAGGATCATGATCGGTTGACGTAGGGTAAGAAGCATCAGGATGAATGATAACTAAGGAAGGATGTCGTCGGTGATCATCCTCGGGATTATGAGAATTATTCGTTTGGGGATTTAGCTCGAACAGCTTCCGAAGGTTATCATAAACAGACGTTCGATTGAAAATATGAACATCGAGTCCATACAGATAGACGTAAAGCCGACGGTTGGATAAATCTAAAATAACAGTAGAACACCAGTGAAAGTTTTTTCGCTACATTCCATAATCACCTTCAAGTGTACAGGAACTATTTAGATAAAGTTAAAAGCACATTTTTGCAGGAATATGGCAAAGGCGAACTTTTATTACGTATGTTATGGGAGGACAGAATGAAAGTGTACTCGGTCCTAATCACGGCATGGACATGGCACAGACCGAAAAATGCATTCAGTATTGAAAGTTAAACGACTTCGGTGGCATTAAGTTGACAATTTATTCCGCAAAGCATTCATTAAAAGGGTTCAAAATGTGTTCATTTATCAAAAAATGTGTGCCCAATAATCATGTCAGAGAAAAGCAAAATTAAGAAAGAAAAGTGGTTGAAGACGTGGGATTTAAATTCTGGTAGCGAAAGCAGAAGGTCTAGTGTTGACACAATAAAACGGGAATACTAACTCACGTTTTGCCTGCGGTTGAAATGGT